CTTCCTTCCTTCCTTCCTTCCTTCCTTCCTTCCTTCCTTCCTTCCTTCCTTCCTTCCTTCCTTCCTTCCTTCCCTATAGCTACCCCTTAGCTTACAATTTAAAAAATACATTACAATACAAGACATTAAACATTTTAAAATAAAAATTAATACAAACATCTAAAATAAATATACATAGCAGCCGAGGTACTTAGCCAATTAGCAATACAGCCAGGAACTCTTGTCACATTCAGCACTCTAAGCTTAGGAACATGGGCAGATCTTTAGAGCCTGATGAAAGGCTAACAGGGTTGGGGCCATTCTAGCCTCTGAAGGGAGAATGTTCCATAGAGCAGGCAGCATTGTGGAGAAAGCTCATCATCTAGTCACCTCCATGGCAGTGCAGTGGCTCAACAATGAAGACGCTGGGCTTGGCTGACAGCCCAGGTTTGAGACCCAAGCACCACACAATGGGGTGAGCTCATATCTTCATCCTAGCTCCTGCCAACCTAATAGATAAATAGGTATCACTTTAGTGAGAAAGTAACAGCACTCTCTGACATCAAGCTGGCTACATGACTGCAGAAAAGCTTTTGGAAAGCTCTGGCTCAATGCCCCCTAAAATGGAGGTGAGTACCACCCCCTAGAGCAGCTATTAGCAAAGTAAAAACCTCAAGGACTCCTTTACCTTTATCTAATCCCCACCAGCCAACACTCTGGCTAATGAGATTTGCAGCATGCCCATTCTGATAGATTGAGTTGGAGGGTGGAGACTCTTGGAAAAAAGCAATCCCTCAGGTACTCCAGTCCCAAGACATGTAGGGCTTTAAAGATGACAACTAGTCCCTTGAATTGCAGCCAGAAGCATATCAGTAACCAGTGCAGCTCTCATAAAAGTGGTGTTACGTGTGCCATATAAAATGGAGGTATGGATACAATGGATATTTCAGTAAAGAGTAGCAAATAGATAAGTTAACCAGGGTCAGAGCCTGGTCTTACTCTTTACCCATGCAGACTTTCTCCTGTGTTAAAAACATTAAAGCCACACAAGAGTTATGAATTTGCCTTCTTGGAACCAGATCCATGAGGTGTGCCACCCCTTTCTACTTTGTCCAGAGCAGAATCCAATTCCTGGCCACCCACATGCTTTTCTTTGTCCTTTCTTTTGTGCAATAGTGCTAGAGAATATATATCCAATAGGATTTTTGGGACATCCATGAATTAGAAGCTCTCCTTCCAAGTTTTAAAATTACTTTCTACCTTTCACAGCTTAGACATAAAATTTGCTTATATGCTGGTGGCAGAAATTTAAAAGCCTTGACTTAAAGAAAGCCCAAGACTACTATCTGTTTTGTTCTTCACATCATACGCACTGTAGCTTTCTTCTAATTTCATTTGTCAGGGTGACCATTGTTGCCCGATATGTTGGTCGAAGTTTATCACATTCAGTCCAAACCAGTTTTTGGACAAAAAGAGGCTTTAGAAAAAAAACAAACCACTGCATTATTGTGCCAGTGCCAAGTATTTTCAACCAAATTAGCTATGCTGTAGGAAAAAGCTTGGATCACATTGAAAAATATATAGAGGCACTGCTTTTTACATAGGTTTAAGAGAAAGCGGTCAAGGATCAACCATTTATATTGCCAAACAGAACATAATAAAGTGCTGCTTTTCAACAGCAATTTCAATAGGGGACACTAGCCAATTGTATGTTACAGAGAAAAACTAGAACTCAGGGCTCACTTTTGGTTATTTTCTTTGAGGTCTCGGAGAACTTCTAAAACTTTACTGGAGATTGCTGATGGTCAAATTTAAGAATTCTAGACTTCTACAGTTTTCAAATGAAACTTGATTTCAAGTTAAGGATTCTGCCAATTCTCACAATAACAAAAAGAAAAATCGGAGCTCTACACAAATGCTTAATGGCAAGGAAATGATATTTTTGGTAATCATTAAAGTTTCAGTCCTTTCCTTGGAAAAATTAAATGTAATGTCTTCTTTTCAGCAAGGCATTTCGAATGCTCACCACAGCAGAGGGGCTGATGACCCAGCAGGACAGGGTCAGTCCAGATGGCCTGCAGGAAGTCTTTGCAACCAACTTCTTTGGACATTTTGTATTGGTAGGGAAGTTTTGAGCAAATGCATGTACACCTTGTAGTTTTGACTTCTGAAAATAAGCATGTCGTCATAGCATTGATATTGTAAAGCTGCTATGTTTCCCAGTTCTATAGGCTTGAAATCTTAGAAACCTTGGTTTGTTTCCTTTCAGATCCGGCAGCTGGAGCCTCTTCTTTGCTGCCTTGAAAATCCTTCCCAGCTCATCTGGACTTCTTCAGTCAGTGCCCATATATCTAACTTTAGCCTTGATGACATCCAGCACAAGCAGGGGAAACAGTCCTACAGTTCCTCTAAATACTGCACTGATCTTGCAAGTGTGGCTTTAAACAACCATTTCAACAAGCAGGTGAGGCTCAGCTCTTCTGATTTTCAGAGGACTGCAGCAGAAACATCAAAGAATAAGTATGCTGTCCCTGTGGCTGGAAAGATAAGCTTCAAAGTTTGTAAATAATACATAGCTGAGATTTCTAAAGCTTCAGAGACAGAGAAGGGACAGCTTCATAGATTTCAATATCTTATAGCATTGACCTTTATAGCAAGTAATGGAATCAAGCAAGGTATTGTAAGCAAATTACCATATGTGCCTATTTCAGATAAAGATACATTTTAACTTTTTAGATACATATTGATGCAGATGTAGAATTTGTCATTGTTCTGACTCTGTCTGATTATTCAAGAAATAGTTTACCTACATATTGCATTGTCACTATCAAAGTAGAACATTGCCATAATTTCTCCCATCCTGTCTTCCATCTTTTGTCCTTCTGACTGCCATTTTTCCCTATATGGGCCAGGTGCCTGATTTAGAGAGAAGGCAAATGAAAGGGCTGAGATTCAAGATTTGGGAGGAACTGGCAAGATAAAGCCAGGCTACCATGTAGAAAAACAACAAATATTCTCCTGGCTACATTGAACTTCGTCATGTAATCTCTGGTTGCTGTAGATGCCCTAATCTTAGAGATGGGGTTTGCTTTTAAGATAAAAGTTGCACCCAGTTCATTCTCTGCTTGTGCTATTATGTAGTTTAGGTTGTAAAATTTAAATGGTGGGTCTCTTAAATTTCAATGTCTTATATAATTCTGAAAGACCCACCAGGACATGGGAAGAATTGTCTCATTTGACCAACAACAATCAACTTCATTGCCAAAAGATCCCTAAGCCTGGAGAACAATTTCACTCTATGGAGGTCCCTTTCTATTGGCCTCAAGGCCAAATACCACCATTTTAGTCCTCTGCTGTTTATATTCATAAAACGCAGAAGAGACTGTTTTGGAAAAGGAGGCTTAGAAAAGAATTTATTTCCTTTTTTGTGTGTGGATTAGTCAACAGGCATAGCTGAGCATGACTATGTGTAGTGTGATTATATTTTATATGATAAACTTCTCTCCACCTCCCATTGCTTCCCTCTCTCTTTTTTCCACATTAGGGTTTATTTTCAAGTGTCATGTGTCCAGGTATTGTAATGACCAATATGACATATGAAATGATGTCCCCTCTTTTCTGGAAGCTGCTTTTCCCTTTCTTATGGCTGGTAAGTGCCTTTTGAAGTATTATTGCATCACAAATGTAAACTTGAGGGAGAGAAGGATTGATTCAGTTTCATAAAGAATCATAAGAAAAACTGATTTGTACCTCAGGATTCAGCATAATGTGAAAAATACAAAATGTACTGAAAGTATCTCTTACTTCGTTATACGGAGACAAACTATTTCATACCTGCCAGTGTGTTCCTAAACACTGGTGCCCAACAAATTCTCTGCCCGCTTGACTATAAAGGAATCCTTTGCAAAGCTATTAAATGGAAGCTGGCATATTGCCAAAGGAGGCACTTGTCATTAGAATCATATTTATTAAGAATTCTACCTTTCTGGCTTACCTTCCATTAAATGGTTGTTTTGTTATGGCTGTGTCCATTGTGGCAAGGTTCCCATGGTGGCTATTTTGTGAATACATCCACTATATGATGTTAAAATTCAAGCTAGGTTCTTAGCTCAGAAAGAGTTGCCCATCCATTCTATCCTGTAGTACCCACAGTGTAAATCCTATTTGAGAATTTTCTGTCAGGAATATTAAAATGGCTAGTAAAATTGTAAAACTGATTCATTTGAAACAGATTTTTTAGTTCAGTTTTTTTCATGGGGGAAGAGAAAACTAACTTTCTGCTTTTTTTTTGCTCTACTAGCTACGCCTGTGCACCCCTACATACACTCTGATGCCGTACAACGGAGCAGAAGCACAGGTAAAATGCTCTTAGATACATCCATGGCTCAGGGTATCCACATAGCCATTTGGTTCTATCCTGTCCTATTGTTCTGACCCAGTCAAAATCTCCGAGAGCAAACACAGATAAACTCAATAACTCAAACTTTCAGGGTTTTAATCTACAAATAAACCTCTTTGTAGATAACCAATGGCTTGCAGCCAATTAGTCCAAGTAGAAAAAACCTTGGCAGAAGTCTTCACATAAATCAGAGTCTGTAATCACATACTGAATCCTTCCAATGTTTTTGCAAGGCAAAAACCGTTTGAAACCAGGCTTATATTCCCTGGAGGGAGGGGCCATTACGTTGCATCCTTACTCCTGAGTCGTCTGTACAGCTTTAGCTGTTCTCTTCTACGAATCATCCTGCGCTCACACGCACTTAGCACGGGCTCTTCTGGAACCTTCTCATCACTGCTGCCAGCCCCCACCATCCCTGAAGGCAGCGGTCCACTCCCTGATGGTCCTGCCCCCTCCTTTGAGTCCTCGCTCTCTTCCACCATCCGCACCTGCTGCCGGCTAACCACAACATCTATCTAGATTGCATGACTCAACGCTGATAGCTATTTTATTGTGGTAAAGGCAAAACTCTTGCAAATGTTGTGGGTTTGGTCTTGCCTAGTACATTCCTTTTAATGAAAGAAGAATAGGCAGTAAAAATAGGTAAGAAGTCTATAGAAACAATGTATATATTTCTTTCCCTCACAGCTGAGGGCTGCAGACTGATCTTGTAGAGTTAGAAATTGGAGGCAGAATTCAGCAGTGACCAGGAAACATGGCTTTGCTTCCATGCACTCTGAAATCAGCCAAGTTCTCTTAAAACCTGAGCAATGCTTCCATCTCTTTTATTGCTTGTGCTCTGGGTTGACCTGCTTGTTATCTTCTTTAGGTGTTTCTTTCCTCCTGCCATCCCTTAGATAGATCACCCTGTTCCTTGTTTTCTGTGAAAAGCCTCCCAGTGCTGAGATGTTAAATGTTCTCAGCACTGTCATGGAGTGTCTTGAATGGAGAGCCCATGGAATAAGAAATGTTTCGGATCCCTTCTAGATTTGGTTGTTTAAGCAGAAGCCAGAGTTGCTGGATCCCCTGGTGAAATATTACAGTTGTACTACTGTTTTTGGGAAGAATTACACTGAGAGCCGCAAGGTAAGTCAATTCTTTTGATGAAATGATACCGTAAGCACTGTTTCTGTAGGTATAGAGTGCTGTGCAATACATTTATGGATAGTTCTACAACCAGGCAGTATAAATTAGGGTTCCCACTGAGGATTGCCAGAAAGTCCTTTCCAGTACATCTTATAAACAGTCACATAGTTAATGAATGTAGAATTTTAGAAACTGGAGAGATATTTCTGTGTAAGCCATACTCATTGCAATAAACCCCATCCATCCCAGTCTTTAATCCCCCTAATTTTCTTGTGTTAGAGCCTAGGCACATACAGATAGTCCTAGAGTTATGAAAGGTCACTTAGGAACAGTTCAAAGTCATGACAGATACCCAAAAAGTACTTAGGACCCAGTTCTGAAATTGTGTACGTTGCAGCATCTCTGCGGTCATTTGCCCTTACAACTGAAGCGGCGCTGACCACAGAGGCGCTGCAACATATCTCCCCCCCTCCGCCTATTTCCCCCCATCCTGACGCAGATCTCCATAGGCACTGAGCCTGAAAGTTATGTACACTCCTGCCTGCCTGCTCGCCTCTATCACTGATTGCTCACTTACCTTTCCAGAGCTCAGGTTGTTGGGGTAGGAAAAGAGGACATATCACTCCATTACAGAGCCAAGTGATAGAAAAGCAGTCTTTCTGAGATTCTGGTTTTATTAGTAAAACTATTCTCTTGCTATATGCTGCCTCTCTCTCTTCCTGCACACAACCATATATTGCCTCTTTCTCCCAGCAAATGCAATCTCTTCCCTTGCTACCATTCTTCTTTTTCTCCCTGCAAATGCATTCAGCCCACCCTGCCTCTTTCTCCTAGCAAATGCACACGTGCAGCAAGGAATAGTTTACACACACACACACACACACACACGCACACGCACCCCATGCATCCATTCCCTGGGAAGAACATACATTTGCCTGCAGAAAGAGGGAGAGCGATAACAAGGGAAGAGGTTGCACTTGCTGAGGCAGCATGTGACCACATGTCTTTGCTGGGAAAGAGAGGTAGCATTTAGCAAGGAAAGAGTTTTGCTGAAAACACAGAGCTTTGGCAGCATCTCAAAAAAAGCTTCTTTTCTGCCATGGGATCCGGTAATGGTCAGCCTGCCCTCCTTTCCTACCATGACATCCTGAGCTCTGGAGATCTTTGAAAGGTAAGTGCATGATCTGAGTGAGTGGTGGGTGCTGGGGCTGGGTAGAGGAGGCCCAAGTGAAGCGGGCATGAAATATCTCGGTGGGAGAAGGCATTGGGAGGCCAGAGGCAGGTGGTCTAATTCCTACAGTAGCCCCTGCCCTGGCCTTCCCCACCCTTGATTCACCCCATGCTCACTTAACAATCCATGCATTTGACCTACACCTTTGTCTAACAAACGCATTGAGGAGAGCTGGGGTGGAGGCTCATTCACTTAACATGAATCACTTAATGTCCTCCTGACTTTAATGTGCAATTACGGTTGTAACTCAAGAACTGCCTGTACACATTTTGTCATCCTAAATATTATATGTGAGTTGATTTTACTAATAATCACTTTGTCCAGATGTGGCAGACACATGGGAAAGCAGGATTCTTTAGTCATACCCCAGACTGGATCTTGAGGAATACACTAACCCAGCATTTTGAGTTTGTCGCTCCTCGCTCCAGTCTAGTTTCTGGGATTTTTCTATTCACAGCTTTTTGGGAGAGGTTCAGCTGTACCATGCAGGGTCTCATTGAATCTTCCTGCCCATCAGCTTTTCTGACAGTGGATTTGCATTGCACATACTTTCAGCTTCTGTGGCTTTTAATTGGGCAACTTCGTGGGGAGAAAGATCTCACATATGAGACAGAAGCTGAACTAGCACTTCAACTCCCCCCTCCTTTATTTATTTATTAAACATATATGCATATTTAATGATTACCTGCCTCTTTGATTTCCAGATGGATATTAATGAAGACGCAGCAGAGAAACTGTACAAGAAGCTGTTGGAATTAGAAAAGCAAGTTTTAGTGAGCAACAAATCACCCAGATAAAAAATAGCAAGACAGCTGTTCACAGGAAAATGTTTCTTGCACTTGGAACACTCTTTGTTATTATTGTTTGCCTTTGCAAAGCAGATTTTCCTAGTGGACTGCTGTGGATGATTGTGTAACTTCCACTTGTCTGAAATGGTATCGGGCAGGGGTCTCCAACCTTGGCAACTTTAAGACTTGTGGACTTCAACTCCCAGAATTCCTCAGCCAGCTGGAGACCCCTAGTATAGGGTGTCCTGCTAGAGCAGGCAGTTGAAGTAGAAGACCTCCAAGGTCCCTTCCAACTCCGTTTGTCAACTCTTGAAACGACTTTAGCTGAAGCCATATTCTCTTTTTCTTTGTTTCTTGGTTGCCATACATATGGGGACCAATGTACATATTGGGGAGCGGGGACCAATGTAGTGTAAAATAGTTTCTTTTAAAGTGCCAGACATAATGGCAGTAGGGCTCTTGGGAACCAAGGTCATCTCAACCAGTGCTGGTAACAGCTGGAGGGAGCAGCTGAGAAGCCTGCCGCTTACCTGGTTGGTCAATGTGAACTGTGACACTGGGGGGTGGGGAATATTTACTCTTTTAACTTTACCAAACCGCAGGAAATATTTAGAGTTGGAGTCACACCTGAACATGCCAATATGATATATCTATCCAATAAAGAAAGCTTTTTGAGAAAAGCTACAGCCTCAGAGTCCTGAATTGACTGGGATCATTACTCGGAACACTGACACCATTCTGATTGATTGATTGATTGAGTTTATTTCTCCTCCCAAAGGTATTTTTATAATGACTTTTTTAGCCAACACCCTAATGGTGATGCTTTTTCATTCAACGTATGGCACCCCTAATGGGGTCTCAACTCTGCCTCATGGCTCCAAATACTTTGGCTGGGCCCCCAAACACTGTCCTGGCATTAGATTGTATGAGAGAAAATCCAAGCACCCCTTCCTGGGACCCAAAATTGGACACAGGACTGGCAAACCAATCTGGGCTGACAAACCCCAAGGAGGCTGAAACTACTCAGTCTGTAAGGGAAGTCAAAAGGGACAAGATGACAGGCATTACTGCTTGATCAAAGCCTCATTTTAATGGGGAACATCTAAAAATGGTGCAGGGTTTTGATCCCATAGTTGAACTTCTCATCATGATTTTCTTTTAACTCTTCCTCCTCACTCTATGTATACCCTCACACTATGGCATCCTTTCTTTTTTTCAAAAGACTATATAATCAAGGTAGTGGTGTTGAACATTTCTGTATCTAAAGATGCTCATATTACTTTTTCTTTAAAGTTGTTCTTTTCTCTAACAAGATAGTGTTCCCTTTGTAGAAAGTTAGCACCCATCCCACTCCAAAAGAATGAAATATTTTGAGAAATATTAAAAAGGCAGAATATTGTATTTCCCAAAGGGAGAAATGGAGAAACATACTCTTGGAAGGAGAAAGCAGCTCCCACCTTAATAACCCCCAGCAGATATCAGCACTTATAAGAGATAAAGAAATAGGCAAAGCAAATACTGCAGGCAGAAATTCATTCAAGACAGGATATTTTGAAATTCCCTGCAGCAAAGCCTGAACAAAGACAGAGTGATAGGATTAGCCCTCACTCAAGATCCAAAGCAGGACAAAGCCATTAATCCATAATAGGAATTGCCCAACACCAGAGGTGGTATTCAGCAGGTTCTGACCAGTTCTAGAGAACTGGTAGCAGAAATTTTGAGTAGTTTGGAGAACCGGCAAATACCACCTCTGACTGGCCCCGCCCCCATCTATCTCTGCCTCCCGAGTCCCAGTTGATTGGCTAGGTCTTCTTTTGTTGCCCTGTGCATGAGAACGGAGCTGGAAAGCAGGTTAGTGGGGTGGGAAGGGAATGGGATTTTGTAGTATCCTTCCCCTGCCATGCCCGCCACACCACACCACGCCTGCCATATCATGCCCACAGAACCGGTAGTAAAAAATTTGAATCCCACCACTGCCCAACACCCTTTCAGAACACAAGCCTCTTCATTGCATCATCTCAGCAAACCAAACTTCAACCAAACCTGGGAGCTCAGACAACCTATAAAACCAGCTATGACCCTTACATAACCCCTACAACAGCCAATAGAATACACGTTATTGCACAGGAACAGGAAGCTCAAGTGCAAAGCCCAAGAGAAGGTATAACACCCCTCCACTCTCAACTCCATGTGGTCCAGAACCACAAAGGTGGTCCTGTTCATCAATAAATGGAACCTCTTTCCAGTCAGCCTCCATTTTGTCTCCAGTGCTTTTCTCCTTCTTGGAACTGAACCAAATGGATATTTCTTCCCACAATTTCAACAAGTCATCTATCTGCCCTCAATGGCAGAACCGGGTCTCTCAACACATATCTCAAGGGAACACCAGCTTCAGTTTTTGTTTTAATTTCTACTATGAAAAAAACTAAGAATATTTACCATGCCTGTTGCTGGAATGAAGATCTTTGTCTTTTTGTTGGCAGACCTCTTTTGACAACCGAGTATGTCCCAAATTTGCAAATTGAATTTATCACTGAATAACAGTGTATGTGGTTGACATTGCAAATAAACTGTATTTCATAATTTGTATTTCAGCAGCAAGATGATCTTAAAGTCTGACATCCTGATTTTTTCCATCACTGTTTTTATTTGAAATAAATTCTAATGATTGCAGGCAAGTTACAGTACAATCTTATTTATGTCTATACAGAAGTCACTAGCTTGAGTGGGAGTCTCTGATAAATACTGAGGATGTATTGAGGAAGATGCGGACAGCCTGGTACTTTCTAGGGATTCTGGATACCAATACTCATCAATTTTAGTCAAGAAAGCCCGTGGCAAGAGAATTCGGTCAATGCACTGTAAAGAGTACCAGATTATCACACCTGTTTAAAAATGCCCCCTGGCAAAACAATCTTCCAAATATGTAATAACTGCAATGCAACAGTGAACATAAATAATCTTGCCAGGGCTTGCAAAGGTCAAAAAGATCTCTTTAGATTAGTGAAAAAATGAAAGGTCAAAAGATCTTGGGGAGCCTGAAGTGTCTTTCAGGTGTATTTATTTAAATAGAGTTTGCAAATCAAATGTGGTATTGGAGTATTTCTAAGTGGTCCCCCACCCACTCTTTGACTGGGTGTAGGCTGTCTTAGTTTTAGAAAAGAAGATGTATCACCTCTTTTGTAAACCCATAATCACATACATAGGTATATTCAATAAAGAAAGTATCGCATACTGAATGAATCACTTAATCAGAACCATCCATTTCCCAGAACATTTTTAATAACAGATGCCACATTTATATTTCCTAGATAGACTACTAACATTTGAAAGCCCCCACATACTAACACAAGTTTCCAAATGCTGATGAAAAGTAATTGTTTGTTACATAAAATTGAAATGATAATTTGGAACTGAATTTAACTGAATGTTATCCAATGTTATCATTCACAGTATGAATTTGCACTAAATGAGTTGATTCTCCTAATGAAACATTATTAAGTAAGGGGAATGGAAGTCTTAAGGTCATGCTGGCTGGATTTGTCAGAATTGTAGTATCAGTGGGGATTCAGGTAGAGGAGTGTGTTTTTTTCCTTTTTAAAAGAATTAATTATATGTGAATCCAAATACATATATAGCTATAATTCAGACCAAAAAGAAAGAGTTTTAGAAACTAGCCAAACATTCTAACCAAGGTTGGGGAAGATATGTATTGTGCTACTTGATTAATGTCATGGTACTGGTACCAAATAGTTATAACCATTCACAGGACTCTGTATTTCCAGTCAGAAAATGGAAGGACTTTCCCTGCTGCTGGGATAGTGGTGTCTTGTCTCCTAGCTGGTCCTGCCATGACACTCTTGCTACTTCAGGCATGCAGGAAACTAGAAAAGACTGTGTGGTTAGAGCACACCAGAGTCTTGCCAGCTGAGCAGACTAGCACCAGTGGACAAGTCTGATAAACCCCTTGTAGAGCTTTACTGTCTCCCCTGGCTTGAAGCTCCATTTGAAAGAGACCCCTCAAAACACTGAGCCATCTTCTGGTTTCTTCAAAACTTGGAAGCTTATTTACTAATTTATGACATTTTGGATGATAAAAGCATGTTGGTATTATTGTTTGGGGTTTTTTTTAATGAAGCAATGCAATAAGTGCCTTTAATCTTTTTGAGACATGTTTTTAAGGTATGTTTTGAATTCTGAGAACACATCGGCTGCTATGAAGAACTGGACTGTCTATCATCTATAACCAGAAAGCAAACTTGTTAGGGAAAGAGAAAGACAAATTATAGATTATTATGTTGTTTACAGAAATGAGGAACTCATCATTTCTTTATCCTAGAATGTTAAATTTAATCTGAAACCTGCAAATTTCAGTGTCAGGCCTTTAATCTGATACCTGCAATCTGCATCCTCTGAATTCAGATTGAGTTTGAAGTACAGAACTCATAGGCCCCATATCTGCCCTTAATGTTTGGACTTTCCTGCATTTTTTTCCCAATTGTTCACTTTCTATAAACAATTTTAGCTTAATACATTGCTCTCAAGGAAATTTATACATGTTTTTGTGCCATTTTGGCTGGACCTAATGAAGGTGTTACATAAGTGTAGCTGAAAGAAGCCAATGCCAAATCACTTATGAAAACTTGCCAAGAAAATTGCAGGGACAGGAAAATTGCAGGACTCATCTAGATAAATGCCAGGAGCCAAACTGAATTGAAGATTCACTCTATAGCTATTTACTTCCCTTCCCCCATTAAAAACTAAAAAAAGGGGGGGGGGAATGATTTACACACCAAAATGCTAAAATAATGGATACCAAAGGATTTTAACCAAGATCTGAAAGACACCGCTTTAAAAAACATCCTGCTGTATTACCTATTTTGATTTACTTTAAATTGTAGTACATATTGGGATTTAATGGACCAATTGAAATCTAATGCACAAAATGTACTTAGAATTACCAGTTTCTAGCAAAAAAATTGAAATAGGAATTGTGACATCATTTATATTCCTTCCGCAAACCTCCTTCATATCAGTATGGTTTAAGCCGTGAGTGACTTGATTACTACTTCTGATAAAACTAAGTCACCAAGTATTAACTGATCTCAAATTGTATGTTCCCAATGAACCTTTCCCTCCCCCTTTCCCCACCTTGTCCTTGTGCACAGCAGCCCACCAGAGGCTCAATAAAATTCCAGTTTTTGCTGCCTGCTTGAGACCAGGCTGCATTTAGCTTTCCTGTTGCAAGTAGCTAAATGATCTTGTCTCTGCAGCCTTTTCAACAGAGGCAGGCCTCTTGGCGCTTTACTTTGCTAGATCTGCTCACTCTGCCGCTTAGGGCTTAGCTTTGGCAACCACCATTTCCTGGGAGGCATGCCCTATGGTTTTTTTGTGCCCAAATATATCTTGAAGGCTGAGTTCCTTTTCCCAGGCTGGAATACCCTTGTGCCGAATATAGCGGGCTTTCCTAACTTCACCATAAGACTTGAGGAAATCAGGCCTGTTGTACATCGTCCTGAGGCGTCCATCAGCAGCATAGGCCTCAGGATCCATGATCAGCCTCTCACGATCAAGAGAAAATCTTTGATTCTCAGGGAGATTCATGGGTTTGGTGATAGTCATGGCATCTTTGGCTTGAGAATCCCTTGGCTCTTCTTTCACTGAGTCTTTTCCTTTCTCTTCTATGATATCAGTTCTCTGCTCCACAGACTCTGCTGAAATATTTAGCTGTTTAGCCATGGAGTCTTTAAGGCTGCTCATGTCTCTGTCATCAACAACATTTGACTCTTTGGCCTCCAAGGGTGGCAAGTGCCCTTTTCTCTTTCCTTCGCAACCAGTGACATCTCCACTGAGCTTCCATGGATGGAGGGAAGACTGCTTTGTCCATGCAACTTCCCCAGTCTTAGGCAATGTTTTTCTTTGAGATCTACAAAAGGAGGAGAGAAATGCTACTCTTCTTTCATTATAATTCTTTTCAGAAGTAATCAATGGATTGTACTCTCTAAGGAGGCAAGGAAAACCCACATATCTAATCCATCCCACTGGAGATCATTATTTTGCCTGGTAGTGTTTCTCTTCATGAGAGAAAAGAAAATTGATAGGAAACAAATCCTTTTCTGACCTGCATGTCTTTAAAATAGTTCCTGTTAATACTATGGGAGACTATAGAATGTGGCCCACTGCTTCTCACTTCCAACTTCTCCCCACAGGTAGTCCTTGGCTTACAACCACAATTTATTTATTTGTAACATTTATTCGTCACCCATCTTATCATAGGGTAATTCTGGATGGCTTACAATCATAATTACAGTAAAGAGTGGAATGTCCACTGTAAGGCAATCAAGTTAGCTCATTCATGACTTTTGTAAGAGGCTTACAAAAGCCCCTCTGTAACCTCCCCCTCCAACATGTTTTTTTATGGTTTCTTCCATCTTTTCTCTTCTCTCAGTAGAAATTTTTGGCTGCAGAGGCAGCCAAAAAAGCCAATGCAATCCTAAATTGTATTAACAGAGGAATAAAATCAAGATCAAGCGAGCTACTAATACCACTCTATAAAGCCTTAGTAAGACCACACCTGGTGTACTGCATCCAGTTTTGTTACCACACTATAAAAAAGATGTTAAGACTCTAGAAAAAGTACAGAGAAGAGCAACCAGGATGATTAGGGGACTGGAGACTAAAACATATGAAGAACAGTTACAGGAACTAAGCATGGCTAGTCTAGTGAAGAGAAGGACCGGGGAGACATGATAGTAGTGTGCCAATATTTGAGTGGCTGCCACAGAGGGGAGGGGCTCAAGCTATTTTCTAAAGCACCTGTAGGCCAGACAAGGAATAATGGATGGAAATTGAACAAGGAGAGATTTAACCTGAAAATAAGAAGAAATGTTCTGACAAGTGAGAACAATCAACCAATGGAACAGCTTGCCTTGTAAGTTGTGGGAGCTTCATCACTGGAGGCTTTCAAGAAGAGATTGGACTCCCATCTGTCAGAAATGGTGTAGGGCCTCCTGCTTGGGAGGGGGTTGGACTAGATGACCTACAAGGTCCCTTCCAACTCTGTTAATCTGCTTGTTGCTCAGTTGATATCTCTCTGATAATTCTAAGCAAGAGGAAAAGACTGAAAAGCCACACAGCAGCTGTTGATCAGGAATGCCAGGGGCTCACTAGATTCAGTAAGGACTGGTCCTTCTAAGTGTATAACCTGGAGCACTTGAGTCTTAGTTTCTTACTGCTACACTGAGAGTGTACCATCACTGCAGAACCTCATTTTTGCCTTTCAATTTAAAGTTACAAGGCCCATTGCAGCCAATTAATAAGAAGGTGGAATTTGCAGGTGTTAGACAGCCAAGACTCTGACTCAACTGGACAACCTCAAATGAGACAAATTTTTACCGTAATCCTGTATAATGGAAGCCACCAGAATTCTGCACATCCAGAGAAGGAGGTAGAGGAAATGTTGTTTTAAAGTGAATATGTCCAGGGCCTGATAAGAATTTCTGCTTGGAGCAGCCTAAGGAAGGGGAAAAGAAATAATTGCTATCGAGTTTCATCTCTAAAGGCAGACAATAATAAGAGAACACATGAACTGTCTGAGAATGATGATTTTTCCCCCCTCTGTTATTTCCAGTGAAATAACAGAGCCATCCAGCCATCAAGGAATGCCAATTTGAGAATAGAGAAAGGATCTGCTTAAATCTGTCCATGTTCATTTTTTTTTGTTCAACTGTCTTTTATCCCCCTCAAAGGAGATTTTTTTTTCCTCTTCTCCTCAGCTGGGACAGTACTTCATGCATTTGTTGAAGTGAATTTGAGCCCATGAAACCACACAATATAATGGCTTTTAATATTTGGTTATACTAAACTAGATTTGACATTTTCATATCCTTGTACTCCAACTGAAATTAATATTCCTGTAACCTATCACACTTTTTAAAATTATATATTTTATGCAGGGATGGGATTCAAACTTTTTAACAACTGGTTCTGTGGGCGTGGCTTGGTGGGCATAGCTAGGTGGGCGTGGCCATGTGCCTGGGTAAGCATGGCTTCTTTATTTTTTGGCAGCACTTCCCCCCCCCCCCATTTTTTGTCTTCTGGGCCTCAGGAAGCCTCCTGGGGGTGCATTTTTGCTCCCAGAAGGCTTCCCTGGAGCTCAAGAAGGCAAAAAACAGAGGGCACATGCAGAACCCCCCACACTCCATTTTTAGGCTTACTGGGCCTCAGGGAAGCTTCCTGGGGGCGTTTTTGCTCCCAGGAAGCTTCCCTGGGTCCCAGGAAGACAGCAAGGGGGATCCCCGGCACAGCTGATAATTGGAACAGCTGATGATTGGGAGGAGGAAAAAATACCTCCAGGAGTGACGGGGTGGGGGAGAATGCAGTCAGTGATATCGGGCATGTATGCGATGTTGCGCATGCGTGATAAGGACTGACTGGAAGGGGAGGGGCGGGCAGAGAGGGGCGGGGCCAGCCAGGGGCACGATTTGCCAGTTCTCCAAACTGCACAGAATTATAACAACCGGTTCTATAGAACCGGTTTGAACCGGTAGAATCCCACTGCTGCTTTTATGGACTTAGAATAACTTACTGTGTATTTTACCAAGTACTTTCAGATGATTTAAATTAAAACTAGTGGTCTTATTAGAGATTGTTGGGAGTGTTTATATTTCTCTATTGGAAGAACTGTTTATTCTGGCTATCTAATTGCTTTTTCACTAAATGCTATTCCATAATAAAGTATCTTCTTTTATCATAGGACTTGAGTTAAATTTCCACTGATATTCTTGTGAAGGCCTCTGACAAAAGACTTTTGAAAACTTAAAAATATGACATTTCATTTCTGAGATATTTTTAATGTGTTACTTTGAAGGAAAACTCTTTAGGAATTTTTGGGAGGTGTTTATGCCTTCAAGTCAATTTTTGATTCCTGGAGACCACCTAAACTAATCCCTGCAGTTTTCTGAGCAATGTTTGCCATTGCCTTTTAACTAGTGCTGAAGAAAATTGATTGGTCCAAAGTCACCCAGCTAGCTTTTGGGACAAGAACTCACAAACTCCTACTTTTTAGCCTGAAACCTTAACCATAGCACCAAATAGGCTCCTAGAAAAATTACCAAACTGAAATACCTTTGTTTAAATTGGCATTCAAATGATACACAGTATAATGAGTAAACCCTAATTATATCTAATTAGGGCCAGTAAGTTGGTACAGGTGGAATTTTCTTCCCAAGCTGAATTACACTATTTCTAACCATGGAGTTTCCTTAAGACAATTTTGGCAACATTTTTCAACTCCTGTAAATCAATTCTACTCTGTTGTTTCTAAACAACTGAAAGGTAGAGATTTCATCTCAAAATGTTGTATGAAAAGAGGCAAAGGAACCCTCACTTTTCTGTAACCTTAGGAGTTCCTGCTGGAGTCGCTGCTGTTCCCTGGTCATGGTATTCAGATAGTAGAGCCGGGCTTCTTCTAAACTGCGCAGCCCCAGGCTGAGCCTGGCCTCTGCCCTCTTGACATCACGTCTCTTTGCCTCCCAGTGCCTTGAAGTTCCTCCCTCTGTCATGCTTATTTGAAAAGGCTTCAGAAAAACCTATTGATGGTTATCCTAGAAAGAAAAAGAAACACCTGGTATTGACCATCCTGGGGCCTTCACTTCTACTCCCTTTTTACCTTGAGATAATATTATCCTGAAATAGAAAAATGTATTATTTAACCCTCTTTCCAAATATTTTTCTGACCTGTGGCAATGGAACATTTCTGTCTATCAACTTTCAAATCGTTCAGAAATAAGACTCTGTGTCAGGGTCATCAGTGCATTGGCATTGCTAGTTGGTTAATTTTCTATAGGAAAGCAATTGCCAGACTCTGCCATCCCCTATGACAGTTGCTCGTAGTTTGTCGCATGAGTAGAAAGCTTCTTTTATAGCTCATTCAGATTCACTCTGAGGTAATGTGGAAGGAAAACATAACCCTGTCTTCCTTCTTCTTCCTTCTCTTTAGAACAGATGTTCTCAAAGTGCCCCCCAAGCCTCTCAGGGGTCCACAGAATCAAAATAATTTGCCAACCTACCTCAAATACCACCAAACATCAAATCATTTTTCTGACCTGTGTAGCAATGGTGAATGCATCAGTTTTTATTTTTAATTATAGTAAATACAGATAAATATAATTCATACAAAGAAAAACTTCTTTTGGGGACTTCCATAATTTTTAAAAGTGGGATAGGGGCCCTGAGAGAAAAAAACATAAGAAACATTACTCTAGAAGATACATGCCTTTCCAAATGTACAGAATGCAAAACTGCAGCTTTGTATTTTCCTCCAATGTAAGCAAAATTTGAATCGGATGAATAGAGGCTTAAAAAACTTTATTAAATGTTATTTTTTTAATTTGATTTTTTAGAAATAAAAACATTTTAAAACATTTTAAATGAAGCAATTTTAGAGTCTAGGACTTCATGGCCCAGGATGCACTCACTCTACTACATCACAGAAAGTCTAAAACAAATCTATGTCAGCAAGCTCATGGGGATGGCCAGCACATGACACATCCAGCCCATGGGCCATGAGTTTGACACCCCTGTGCTACAGCTTCTAATATACATGTAATATACACCTCATTTGAGCACAATCCCATCTGCATGTAATGAAACTGATTTTAACCAAAGATCAACTCGGTATATTCACTTCTGGGTCAATAGATTTACAAATCTGCTTGTAGTAAAATTGACTTTAACCAAAGATTTGAAGAGAAAAGAAGGAAATAGCCTTGGGCTAGTGGAACTCAGAATAGAGAACAGGGTTCTGTTATGTTCATGGGATTGAGTTGCTATGCAAATAGTTGTTGCTCAGCACATAGTTAACATATTTTATTAATTCAGTTGTGTAAACTTCAAAGATAAACATTTGTGTTGACTTGCTCCTTTTAAAACTCAAATGAACCTATTATACCAGTACTAACTGTCTTAAATTATTTATTACTATGTCCTCTCTTCAACTTATGAGAGCAGCAACAAGGAACTTGAAGGGTGCTTTCCAAACTATGCAAGTATGGTAGTTTTAAGGTTTCTTCTGAAGCTTTTCCCCCTAGATGTACCATGTTTGCTAAGAGAGAAAAACAAAGAAGGGATAGGGTGGAATGTAGAGAACTCTGGCACAAGTAGCAAAGTTATCAGTAGCATGACCAGAGTGTTTCAGGCCAGTAAATCAGAACACAATTTTCTATGTTAGAATTAGAAGGATACAATCTCAGGTTTGGATGGTATATTTTTTATTGGCATGACAAAATTAATGTAGACTTAAAAATCATGTTAGAAGTGCCATACTATGAATAAGGAATAGATACAGACCGCAGGTGTGCCCCAAAATGGGCACAAACAAACACATTTCAGCCCAAACTTTTTACAGTATGAAAAAAGAAACAGTGGGCAAAGAAAAATGGTTAACACATCAAGATTTGTTAGTAGAAGAACCAAGTGGGGAACTTAAATATGTACAATGAAGAGAAAGATAAATAAAAGATAAATGAAAAAGTAATTGGAATTGAAAAACATAGAATAGAATTTGAAATTTTAATTTGCGATTGCTAAAATGTACACACTTTTGCTGAGAGTTAAAATGGAGGAAGAACAAGTTAAAATGATAAAATGGGCTAAGAATTTGGTTATAATGTTCAGATGGACCAATGGGAGAGAATGTGGTTAAAAGACTAAAATTCACATTATTACAATTTAAGGTAAAACTTTTACAAAATGATGTATGATGCCAGAAAAATTACCCAAGGTATAGAAAGGTATTCTAATCAGTGATGAAACTGTAGAAAAGACTCATTTTACCATGTATGGTAGACTTAAGAAAAAAAAAGGGGGGGGGAGTGATAATAAGGATACAAAGAGTTTTAAAGACTACTATTCGGGTGAACCCAGAACTTTCTTTACTGAAATTTATGGGTAACCAAGCAGAAAAGACCTATGGAAGATTGGTTTTGTACATGGTAACTTCAGTGAGAGTATGATGATGGAATTACGTATGTGGCAAAATTGACCTTCTGATCAGGAATATGACAAGTACTTTTATTTAGACTGGAAAATTCTCATGGATTTTTTTTTGCTGAAAATAGAAAAAGATAGAAGCAAAGTTTCTGTTTGCTGCCCTCAAATGTTCATCCAGATACATACAGCCCAGATGCAGTAGCTCTCCCTGCGTGCGTGAACCTGGCAAATCTAGCCATACATGTTACACAAATACCACTGACCACCACTCTATTACATCACTGCCTCAAATGCAGATAGGAATAATACCGACAAACAGCAATAGCACTTACAGTTGCAGAATTCTTGCTGAAGTGAAGAATGCTTTTGCACAAGATGAATGAGGAATGAGCTGGGTGAGGAAATTATCATCCCAGCAAGATCCAAAGGGACAAGAAAGGCTGCCATTTGCCTGTCTCCGGTCCTCTTGGGGGTGGTGGGGAGCAAATGAAGGAAGTGCCAGAAGCAAGGAAAGCAAAAGCAAAATCTTTCAGCAGCTCCGGCTGCCCACAGAGCAAACGAAATCAGAGCATTCTGAGCCTTTCTTGAAAATCCCTTTGTAGCTATTGTTGCTTGTTGCCTGGAAGGCGGAGATTATGGAACTTCAGCTGCTGCTTGACTCAAATGAGCAGTCCAGAAAAAAGAAATCTTTAGACTGAACACAATTAGAAAATGTGCCAATTTTGCAGCTCTCTCCCTCCCTCCCTCCCTCGCTCTCTCTCTCAACGCACACACTTAAGCCAATCCTCTTAAAAATTTGTCTTCATGCAATGCAATTGAAATCTACACATTTGCTGACAAATCATTAAGAAAAGTGGTTTTCCTTCCTTTCCCTTTCCCCTTCCTTCCTCCTTCCCATTAGAACCATCCTCATTTCTTCCAGAAATTCATAAAAGGTTCACAAAGCAAGCAGCCTGTCAAATCCTGTCATACTGAGAACAGCCTTGCTGAGTGTGCCAGTTTCTCAGGAAAGACTTCGCAAACACCAAATAAACTCTCTTATTGTTCAGTAGCAAAACTTTAGACTGTTAAAAATCAATACGCATAAAAACAAATGGCAAAGAAAGTGGGGACTTTTTCTTAAACCCCAAGATTCAGGGTTTGGAAATGTTTGTTTCAGGCTGAGGGCTGCACTTGTTTCTGGCCAGAGGCACACTCCAAACATTTGTGGGGAAGGCCGTATATATGATTTCATTTGAATGATATCTAAATTAATTCATACGATTGCTTTCCAAGACTATATTTAACCATATCCCCTATACTCTAGTAATGTAGTAACAATATGTTGGGGAGTTCATCCAAGGCTTTCAGGGCAGCTTTGTATTAGGTAATCTTTTTCCAATCTTTTTCTGCATGCCAAAACCCCAAGGAGGGGACTTAAAGAGGCACTGGACAACTTCTTTTCATTCTTTGTGGAGTTTTCCTGGTATGTATAATCAAGCAAAAGACAAATATGAACAGTGCCACAAAGGCTGCTCTTATGTCAAAATCCTAGCAACAAGAAACTAAGAGATTTGTTGACTCTCAGGCTGTTGTCTGTTTCCTCCTGAGCATATGATGCACCTCTGAGTGCTCCTAGAAAAGCATCCCAAAGCCCCCAGCCATACAACAGAATGAAAACCATTTCAAAATGGTTTTGGATGGCATAATTGCTCAGGGAAAAACACCAGATATTCTGAATGGTGCAGCATGCTTTTCCCCCCAGTGTTGCCTGTAGCCAAGGGTAATATTACTATGGTTCAGGCAGCAACATATTGACGAAGAAGATTAAACACTTCTGAATGAATATTGCTAACATTTTGAGTACTTTAGAAGTATGGAAGGATGCTAGCCCTGTATATTTATGTTATTTATTTATTTATTCATTCATTTATTTATTCATTCATTCATTTATTTATTTAGTCAAATGCTTACAATATAATAGAAATAAGAATAAACATAAGTTTAAATACATGAAATAGGAATTAATAATTGGGAACAATAGGACAGGTGCGGTAGGCATGATTGTGCGCTTATGCACGCCCCTTACAGACCTCTTAGGAATGTGGTGAGGTCAATAGAGGTTAGTTTGAGGGTAAAGGAGTTAGGGTTTGAGCATGTGACAACAGAATCAGGTAGTAAATTCCAGACATTGACCAATCTGTTGCTGAAATCGTACTTCCTGCAATCAAGTTTGGAGTGGTTTGTTTATTTATTTGATTTGATTTGATTTGATTTGGTAATTGCTTACAAAATACAGGTATAAGAATAAACATAGTTTTGAATACATGAGACGGATACTTATAAAAAAAAATAAAAAGAAACAATAGGTCAGGGATGGTAGGCACGATTGGTGCGTTTATGCACGTCCCCTACAGGCCTAGGTGAGGTCAATAGTAGACAGTCTAAGGTTAAAGTTTTTGGGGTTTGGGGAAGAAACCACAGAGTCAGGTAGAGTATTCCAAACACTGACAACTCTGTTGCTGAAGTCGTATTTTCTGCAATCAAGTTTGGTGCGGTTAACCTTGAGTTTGTATCTATTGTAGTCTCTTGTATTGTTATGACTGAAGCTGAAGTATTCATTTGCAGGTAGGACATTGCAATGTATGATTTTATATACTATATTTAGATCGGACCAAAAGCGGCATAGTTCTAGGTTTTCTAGGTCTAGAGTTTCAAGTCTGGTGGCATAAGGTATTCTGCAATGAGTAGAGGAGAGGAGAACTCTTCTTGTGAAATATTTCTGGACTTTCTCAATTGTGTTAATATCAGATACATGATATGGGTTCCAGACTGATGAGCTGTATTCAAGTATAGGTCTAGCAAATGGTTTGTATGCTCTAGTTAGTAGCGTGATATTACTACAGAAGAAGCTATGTAGGATTAGATTAACAACTCTTAATGCCTTTTTGGCTATGTAGTTACAGTGGGCTCTAGCACTTAGATCATTAGAGATGAGTACTCCAAGGTCCTTGACAGAGTTTGGATCCTCAACAAGGTCTTGACTATTTAGCTTGTTTACATTTAGTTTATATCTGTTGTGTGCTCTTGTGTTGTTGTGGTTAAAGCTGAAATATTCATTAACTGGTAAGACATTGTAACATATGATTTTAGGTACTATGCTTAAGTCCAATCTTAGCTGGCGTAGTTCAAGGTTGTCTAAGCCTAGAATCTCAAGTCTGGTGGTGTAGGGTATTCTGTTGCGAACAGAATGTTTCTTGTAAAATACTTCTGGACTTGCTCAGTTGTATGATACTCTGTGTGGATTCCAGACAGTGGAGCTGTATTCAAGTATTGGTCTAGCAAAGGTTGTGTATGCCCTAGTTTGCAAATCAGTATTACCAGAGGAGAAGTTTTGTAAGATCAGATTGACAACTCTTAAAGCCTTGTTTGCAATGTTGTTGCAGTGAACTCTGGTGCTTAGGTCATTCGATATGAGAACTGTAAGGTCTTTGACAAAGTGAGGGTCATCAACGAGGTCATATCCGCCTAACTTGTATTTGGTGTATTGATTTTTTTTTTACCAATATGTAGGACAGAGCATTTATTGGTGAAGATTTGCCAACTGTTTGACCATTCAAACACATAATCAAGGTTGCTTTGAAGGACAGTAGCATTGTCGGTGGTGTTGAATAGTTTTACATCATCAGCGAAGAGAATGCAGTTACTTATAAGGTGATCACAAAGGTCATTTATATAGAGTGTAAAGAGTGTGGGTCCTAGAACGCACCCTTGGAGGAACACCGCTGTTAACTGGTGCACAGTTTGATAAGACGTTTCCTATTTTTACTAATTGTTGCCTGCTTGACAGGAAGGCAGTAATTGACTTATGAAGGGATCCGGAAATGCTGTAAGAGTTTAATTTTAATAGTAGTTTGTCCTGTACCACTGAATCAAATGCTTTGCAAAAGTCTATGTAAATTACATCTATTGCCCTGGTCAAGTAATGTAGTCCATATGTTTTTGCAGTGTAGAAGTTGCAAATTGCAGGACAATTTTTTTCCGAAACCAAATTGTTTGTTGGAGAATAGGTTGTTTGACTCTAGGTGGAAGGTAATGCATTGATTAATAATTGATTCCATAACTTTGCACATGACACAACACAATGAGATTGGTCTGTAGTTTTCAACCAGGCAGGGGTCACCTTTCTTGAAGATAGGGATGATCGTTGCTAAAGACCATAGGTTTGGTAATGAGCTGGTTCTGAATGATATCTTATATATTATGCTTAGGGGTTCTTCTATGGCAGTGGAGAGCTTTTTTAAGAAGAATGCACATAACCCATCATGGCCAATAGATAAGGATGGTTTAAGGTGATGTAGTGCATTTTCTACATTATCTTCAGTAAAGTCAATTTGTAGATCGTTGCAGTTAGTTGTCATATGATTAGGAAATGACAGGCATGAGGCATTACTGTTAACAAAGACTGAATTGAAGAACGTGTTGAAGAGGTTTGCCTTAATGGCTTCATCACTATAGTCTTTCCCATTTGGTCCTTTTAGGGATGGGATGTTTTTGAGTCTTTAAGTTTTGTGTTTACAAAGTTATAGAAGGCGTGGGGTGGATTTTGTGTGTAGAAGGTTTTCCTCTTGCTTGCAGTGGTAATTGGTGCATTCTGCCTTTATCTGTCAGCATAAGGTGTTGTATCAGGTTTTAAAGTTAGTTACGTATTTAGTTTTGTTTTTACACCATAAGGATTTTTTTTTAGATTGAAGTTTTCTTATTATTTTGGGTAAATTGTTTTTTTGTTTTGTTTTGGGAGGTTATTAATGGATCATATAGTTTAATGACTCTTTAAGTTCAAGCAAGAAAGCGTTATAATGTTCTTCTGTAGTATTACAGCCAGGGGACCGAATGTGCCAATCAAGAGATAAGTCGGCGGCAATGAATTCATAATTGGCTTTTTTAAATTGTATTTTGGGGATCCATCATTATGATCCTCTATGAGATGGTGTAAATTTAGACAAAAGTCAATCATGCTATGGTCACTGTTTGAAAATGGTTCCTGAATTTGTAGGTCATAAATTGAGTTTGAACTGTTGCAGAAGTTGAGATCAAGGCAGTTGTTTAGTCTAGTGTTGTTATATGCTAATTGATCCAGTCCCAGTGAGGTAACGGACTTACCATTGTACAGAGTTGCATGAATGGGTTCAGATGTACATTCATTTAGTGTGCAATTTATAAGATGTAAGTTGGGGTCACCAAGAAAAATAAGAGGGTGTGGACAAGAGGCAGTCCACATCAGTAGTGAAGTTAGCTTGTTTGCATGAATTATGTCATAGTCAGGGCCTTGATAGCATAGTAAGAAGCATATCGAGGTATTTATAGACAGTTCACAGACAGTCTCAGGAAGAGGTAGCTCTTTGTA